AGAGATGTAAAATGAAACACCCTGAGTTAGCACTGATTTGATGAGGAGGAAGAAAGGAAAATAAGCAAATCGTGCTTGTTTACAGAAGTGAAAGCAAATTCAACCTGACAAACCTATGCAAAAAAAACAAAAAGAAACTTCTCTCTCCTTAAGTCACAAGTGCAAAACTGTGCCTGGACTTTAACAGTCTCAAACTCAAATTACCTGAAAACCAGTTGAGTAATTGAAGTACTTTTATAAGCACAATTAAAACAACCAAAAGTTATTTGAATAGTTAGGGTCATAAGATACATTTAAAAATAAATATTAACAATTAAGTATTCAACAAGTATGCATTAAATTGATCAGTGACAGTAAAATGACATTAAAGACATTTATAATGTTAGAAAAGATTTCTATTTCTAATTAATGCTGTTTTTTAAACTTTATAGTAATCAAATAATCCTGAAAAAAAAACAAAGGTATTAAGCAACACAACTGATTTCAACATTGATAATATTACGAAATGTTTCTTGAGCAGCAAATCAGCATACATTTGCCATCACAGGAATAAAATACTTTTACTGTTTTTAATGCATTTTTGATCGAAGCGCATAAAGACTAAAAATATATGAAAATCAATTCACATAATTTTGTCAGAAACATAGCTTTTTGGTCAGCACAACAGTGCTTTGAGCAATCTGAGGTTTTTTTTTCTGAACCCGTTTCCCTCTCCCATGACTTCCTGTCTTTTCTTCGACTGTCTAATCATAATAAAAGGCATAAAATATAACTTAAAATTGCTACATAATTTTATTTCAGTTAGATGTGGTGTAGTTGTGCATATGTGAATAATAATATAAAATTACAAATAAAAAAATAATAATATTAAAAGCCAAAGAAGACAATGAAAACTGATTTGCAGGTATAAGGATAAACACGTGAGGGGGGCGTATGAAACCATCTTTTGGTTGGAGATGTGAATTCAAATGTTTTGAATGGTTTCAGTGGAATAGCGTCATGGAACGGGAAACTTTGGTTGGTAATACTGCCAGGCAGAATGGTTAATATGAAGGCAAAGTAGCACTGTGTGTGTAACCCTCCCTCTCTGACGCTCTCTGTGGCATAAGTTTACTAACCCAAACCATCTGTGTGGCCCACACTGACAGGAAACTGATAAAAGAAATGGAGGGATGGAGGAAAGGTAAAAAGAAGGGAAACATTTTATGCGTCCCTCTATAAATGTCCACTGAATCGAGGGGACTTCTTTGCGTGCGCGTGTGTGTGTGTGTGCGCGCGTTTTTGTGACAAATGAGGACATAAATTTGTATAATGACAAAGGTATGACATAGGTATTACAAGGAGAAGGTGACTTTTCAGGACATTACCCCATGTCCCCACTTCAAAACGCTTATAAATCACACAAAATGGAGTGTATTGAAAATCTGAAATAGCACAAAGTTTCCTGTAAGGAGTAGTTTTAGGGGTAGGGTTGGTGTAAGGCAATAGAATATACGATCTGTACAGTATAAAAACCATTACGCCTATGGGATGTCCCCACTTTTCACAAAAACAAACCTGTGTGTGTGTGTGTGTGTGTGTGTGTGTG